ATTGTATATTGTATATTTGCTCGTTGTGTGCCTTCAAGTTATGGCAACCCTAAGGCAAATCTATTACAAAGTGTATATATATTATATTGTATTGTATATTGTGAATGTATATATGTGTATATATCTATATTGCATATAGATATTACATATAAATATATATATATTGTATTGTATACTGTATATTTGTTTGTTGTGTCCCTTCAAATCATTACTGACTTATGGTAACCCTAAGGCAAACCTATCATGAGGTAGTGTGTGCGTGTTTGTGTGTGTGTATATGTATATGTATATATATATATATATATATATATATATATATATATATGTTTATTGTATATTGTATGTCTATTATATTGTATATTGTGCATGTATACATGTGTATATATCTGTAGTGTGTGTGTGTGAGTGTGTATAGTATTATATATTGTATATATATATATATTGTGTGTTTTCAAGTCATTACTGATTTATGGCAACCCTAAGGCAACCCTAGCACGGGGTTTTATATATATATTGGTTTATTGTGAATATACAATATATGTGTATATATCTATATGGTATATAGATATATATAGATATAGATATTATGTATATGTATGTGTGTTTCTGTGTATATATGTGTGTGTGTATATATATTGTATTGTATATAAACGGCGTTCTGTGCAGTCATGCTGTCCATATGATCACAAAGTAGCCTCTGACAGCACTGGCTCTTCCGCTTAGTAAAGGAGATGAGCACCGCCTCCTATGTATGGTCAGACATGACTTGACAACCTTGTCAACATATTTCCATGTCTGGGTCAGAGAAAACGGGGAAGGGAAGGTCAGGCTTTGCCAATCCTTTGTGTTCAGGGTGACTAGATGTCATGACCACTAAGTAGGAGAAGGTGCCTCAAAATTGAGGAGATTCCAGAAAAATGTAGGACATGACCAAATGAATGCTCAAAACACTGGTAGAAATACAAATTCCTGCTTCTTAGTCATGCTCAAAATGAAGGCCATTGTGGAATTCCTCCTGGACATAAGGTTGAAATGTAGGACATGTCCTGGAAAAAGAGGATGCTTGGTCACCCTGCACACCGAGCACAATGGCCGAGGGGTGTCATTGTGGGGTGCGGAGGGTGCTTGCCGCATCAGGTGACACCGTAAGGTGGGGTGACACCACTGCTCCCCAAACATCTGCCTTTGGGCAGAAACAGGCTGTGGCATCATTTTAAAATGCTGAAGAAATGGTGCCAGTGGGGCCAGGCTTAGTGGGAAGAGAAAGGAGAAGCCCTAGGCTTTTATTAAAAATTAAAATGTTTTTTAAAAGAAAAAAAAGTAATTGTTTATTCTTTTTACGTTTTCTTTAAAAACATCACATCTTACCACATTTTCACTAACCGCACAAAACAACGTGCATGTAAATACATGTAGGCTGTGGGTATTAGATTGTAATTTAAAGGCATACATTTAATTTTGCTTGTTCTTTGATGTCATGACTGTTGCCATTCCATTCAGTGATATACGGGGATTACGATTGATGTGTAACAGTACAAAAAACATCAGCAAGGATTTGGTTTGGTGTGGTAATGAGAGAAGAAGGTCAATGGGGAGATGACACCATTATTATTATTATTATTATTATTATTATTATTATTATTAAGTATTTATACCCCGCTCTTCAGCCAAAAGGCTATCAGAGCAGCTTACAAATGGATGAGTTACTGCACTGGGTAACAAGTACCTTACTGATGCCATTGGTCTGTATAATAATAATAATAATAATAATAATAATAATTATTATTTATATCCCGCCCCTTTGAGATCAATCGGGGCAGCTAACAGCAATAAAATATAATGCACTACAACAAAATCTGGTTCCCTCCTCCCCCCTTAAAAAGTTATTAAATCGATTACAAGTTAAAAGCAACAATTTAAAATGCAACAATAATATTATAGGACAGTTTCACACTATGGCAGCAGTTCTCAGTTACATATTTAAGGAGGAAGCTGGAGTCCACATGAATTCTGCACTGTCCAGTGACAATGGTGGCTGGGGGATTCTGGAAGTTGTAGTCCAAGAAAATAAGTTGCCCAGGTTCTGGGTTCCATATGTTGTGTGTATCTTCAAGTCTTTTCTAACTTATGACGACCCTAAGGAAAATCTATCATAGAGTTTTCTGGGGACTGAGAGTGTAATTACATTACAATTTGTGGTGTGCTATGGGAGGAGGAGGTCAGTGCAGGCGATGACACCATGAGTTATACCAGGTGACGCCAAACCTAATGATGCCACTATTGGAAGCTAATTTTTCCCCTTTTCTTTTATACGTTTTCCCTTTTAGTTTACTTGTATGCACTAATTTTTGCAGAACATATTGTAAGGAAAGCAGGCTTGGACATGGAAGAGGGAGGAGTGAAAATAGGAGGAAGACATATCAACAATCTGAGATATGCTGACGACACCATAATACTAGCAGAAATC